GGAAACTGTGGCACCCCAAGGCAGAGCGAGCCAGGGCAGAGGTGGGACCAGGAGGGGGCTGTCCTGACCCCCAGGCCAGGGCCTGCCCCATTTAGAGGCTCACACCAGAGAGTCCGGCGCGGGAGGTGGGACGTTCTGCAGCGTGGGGGCAGAGAGAGGGCAGGGCACCCTCCTCATGCTAAGAACCCGGCCGAGACTCACCAAGCGCCCCTGCCAAACATCTCTGCCGCATCTCCACGGTCACGGGTGGACACATTTATTATTCCCATTTCACAGATTTGTCCTAAGGGACGCTGCTTTGGGAGTCCAGGTGTGTAACCTTGCACGACCCCCGCCTTAGGCCCCCTCCTCCGGGCCCACTGCATCCTCCCAGCAGCTTTGACGGTGGCTTAGCCTCAGCACAGCCACCTGTGACTCAAGCAGGCTCCGTTCCCAGACTGTCGCGTTGGCTGGAGGCCCAGAAACTGCATCCCAGGAGGCCGCAGGCCAGGCCCCCCACGAGACAGGGCAGGAGATGGTTCCCTTCCTGGCCCCAAGAGGTCTAGAAGGAGGGGACGGGGACGTGACTCCTCCCATTCCATGATCTTTCCCTGACTCCTGGCCAGCCAGAACCTTGCACAGAGAAGGGGCTTGGTGGTTCCGCTGCGCTGTGTGACCTCAGGGGGTCGCTTTCCCTCTCTGATCCTCCATTTCTTCCTTTGCAAAATGACACTTCTGAGAGCTGCCTTTCAGGGCTCTTGGATGAAGGCGTCGTTGAGCACCTACTGTGTACCAGGCCAAGCACTGGAGGGAGGAACTGCTTCGGGGAAGAAGGAGGCTTTCTGCAAGCAGGAGACGACGCATGAAATCGTCACAAAGGCAGGCTCGGAAAAGGCCGTAGGGACCGTGCCTGACCCAAGCCAGCCTCAATTTCCACATCTGTAAAAGGAGGATCAGAGCAGTCCCCCCTTCCAGGGCTGCAGAGACCCCACCCCCAAGAACAGAGGGGCACGCCAGGGTGCCTGTAGTCACTGCTCCAGAGACTGCCCTGTCCGCCCTGCTTCCCCTCGACTCCCGTCCCATTAAGATAATCTGTAATTTGCTGATTTCTCCTGTGCATCCTCTGTCCTCCCTCCTTTATTGCTGCGTCTCCAGCATCTGGCACACAGCAGGCATCCAGTAAATGCTAGCTGAATGAATGACAAGCCGGTGACATTGAGGGTGGGCCAGGCTGTTCCTGGAGCAGGGGTTTCCGGGGCTCTGAGCAGGGATGTGGCACCCGCAACCCCACTGTCCCTCAACTGCCCGGAGCCCGGTGTGGACGGGACAAACAGCAGGGGCTCAGCAGGTGACAAGAATGTGCAAGTTCTGTTGCTTCCAGCAGGGTGGGGGAGGTGGGTTTCAAGTCCACGAAGTGCCCCAGGCCCGGCCTTGGCTGCTGGTTGACCTTGGGGTGTCCCTCACCACCGCCGTCTCTGGGCCCAGCATCCCCAGCGGGTCTCCCATGTATCTTCCTGGGCGGGGGATACAGGCATGGGTTAGAACCTCCCAGGCAGTGGGGCGGTAGCACCTGGTTGCCAAGGTTACGACCACNGTTCTCTTTGAAGGTGTAGTTTCTCTGTCTCTCTCTCTTTCCTTGCAACGTATTTGTTGAAAGTGTGCCCGGGTTGCTCAGTCGGGTAGAGTGTGGCACTGAGAACGCCAAGATTGAGGGTCTGATCCCTGTACAGGCCAGCCACCAAAAAATAGACATAAAAAAGAAACACACAGTAACAATGTATTGGTTGGAAAATTTAGTTATTTACTTGAAATCCCACAGTTTGGATTTTGTTGATCATTCATTCAGCAATTGCTGGGCGCCCCCAGGGTACCTGGCGTCGTACCTGGGTTACAGTGTTGACAGAGACAGATGCAGTCTCTGAGCTCCTGGAGGAGTCGTTCGGATTTTGTTCTAATGTGATGGGAAGACACTGAAGAGTTTTAGGTAGGGGGTGTCACCATCTGATTTGCTGTTGGGCTGTCGGGAATTTGAGGGGAGGCAGGCAGGTGCCGTTGTGACCCGGGGAGGGGTGCTGACACTGGGAACACACAGGCCTGGTAGCAGTGGGCATTCGCAGAGAGATTTTGCACATAGAGATGGTTTTCCTTTTTCCTTTAGATATTTATCTTGTATGTCACTTTCCTGCTCTATTGCAGTGTGTAGACCCTCCAGGACAACGTTGAATAGAACCAGCGGGGGCGGACGTCTGTACCTTGTTCTTGAGATTGGGGGAAGACATCTGGTCTTTCACCATCAAGTATGGGAGTAGCTGTAGGTTTTCTGTAGATGCCCTTTATTGGGTTGAGAAAGTTCCCTTCCATTCTGAGTTGCCGAGTTCTTAATCTGAATGGGTGTTGAATTTTCCGCATCTATTGAAATGATCACATATGGTTTCCTCCTTTGATGCTAAGTTGGTGAATCACATGGGTTGATTTTCTTTCTTTTTTTTTGTCCTTTTTGAGACCAGCCGCACCGCGCTCAGCCAGTGAGTGCTGTGAGTGCNGAGGGAGTCAGAGAGGCAGAGGGTAGAGACGGGCACAGGCCTGGAGGGAATGGGGCAGGCCGCATGTCTGGAGAATTGCACAGCGCACAGCAATGAGGGGCGAGGGTGGATGCGGCAGTCGGACTTTATCTTAAGGGAAGGTGGGAGCCATAGAGTGTTCTAGGCAGGGAGGATTAAGATTGGATTTGTGTGGCCACGTGGGTGGATTCTAGGTACAGAAGTCAGGAGAATTGTGCCCCCAATAAGGGACCCCCAGAGCAAGTTCTAGGTTCAGAGTGGAGTTTATCCACCACTAAAAAAAAAAATTTGTCCTCTGATACACGTAGAAGTTAGTCCCCAGCAGATTCCAAAGGGACCTCTTGCTTATATTAACTTTTTCTTATAGAAAATTTCAAACACGGGCCAGCCTGTGGCTCACTTGGGAGAGCGTGGTGCTGATAACATCAAGGCCACGGGTTCGGATCCTATATAGGGATGGCCGGTTCACTCGCTTGGGAGAGACTGCCTGCCAAGGGGGCTTCCTGAGCCCCCTCCTGCTCCTCTGGGGAGGGGTTCGCTGGGGCTGGGGTGGGAGGATGTCCTTGTCTGGTGCCCTCCCGCCTGGGAAAGCCAGCAGGAGCCCTTATGTGGCAGTAATTCTTTATAAAATTCAAAGTTCTCCTCCTCTCGCCCTGTCTCTCCAGTGAGAGGTACGGGATCGGGTGTGGGCAGCGGCGGCCGTCATGGGCCCGTGGACGGAGGCTGTGGGGGCAGTTGGCCTGGGAGCCTCGGTTGTGGTCCCAGGTAAGTGGCTTCCCCTCTGTAATTGGGGGTGGAGTAACTGGCTGCTAAGAGGCAGCTGCATAAAGTAACTGAAGTCTTGGGCTCCAGATGTCTGGGGTCAAGCCCCAGTTTTGCCAGGTACTCGCTGTGTGACCTTAGGTTAGTGACCTAACCTCTCTGAGCCCCAGTGTAAAGTGAGAATAACAGCAGCTCATCCCTTAAGGCTGTTGGGAGGATTAAATGGGCAAATCATATTTACAGGACTGCCTGATCTATGGTCAACAGCCAGGAACAATTAACGGTTATTATTTACGGAGTTGGTGTTGGACCAGCATCATGCATAGTGCAAGGCACCGGGGATACTGCCTCCCACAAACAGTCCCGGCCTGCCATTGCAGATTGGGGAGATAAAGGGGCCTGAACTCAAGGCTACAAGGCAAACTTCACAGGAGAGCTGGCCCCAAAGGACAAGTTCTGTAGACCAAGGAGGGAGTCAGAGAGGCAGAGGGTAGAGACGGGCACAGGCCTGGAGGGAATGGGGCAGGCCACGTGTCTGGAGAATTGCACAGCGCACAGCAATGAGGGGCGAGAGTGGATGTGGCAGTCAGCTGCTGCGCTCCCAGCACTGCACTCTCCCGAGTGCGCCACGGGCTCGGCCCACATGGGTTGATTTTCGAGTATCAAACCAACCTTGGATTTCTGGGATGAAACCTATGGTCGTGATGTATAATTTTGTATAGGAACACTGTATTCAATGTGCTAATACTTGATTAAGGAGTTTTGCATCTAGAGTCATGAGGAATATTGGCCTGTGCCTTTCTTTACTTGTAATTTTTTTTTTTTTTGGCAGCTGGTAAGGAGATCTGAACTCTTGACCTTGGTGTTATCAGAACCACGCTCTAGCCAGCTGAGCTGACCTGCCAGCCCCTGTAATGTCTTTGTCAGGTTCTGGTGACACTGGCCTTGTAAAACAAGTTGGGAGGTGTCCCCCTCCTGTAGTTTCAGAAACAGTTTGGGCAGGATTGGTGTGACTTGTTCTTTAAAAGCTTTAGGACCAATTCTGGAGGTCGAGTCAGCATTTGCAAATGGAAGGGAGGTGGGGGATGGGAGAGGGGTGAAGGGGGACCTTAAGGTTTAGGGCCCGAATCCTAAATCCTAGGGCCGTTTCCTTGATGGGGAAAGCCGGGGGCACCAGGTGGAAGGGGGAGCATCAAGTTGCAGCATGTTAATTTTGGGGTGCCTCTCAGACACCCAAGTGGGTGTGAATTTGGTGTCAGGGGGAGGTGGGGGCAGGAAGAGGGGCCCAGAGGCATCTCCGGTAACCAGGGTCGGACCCGAGGCCAAATCCATCTCCAGCTTCATTTCCTGCAGAGTCCGCCTGCTACCAGGAATGTTGTCCTCTGTCCAATACAGAAGACACAGTGGCCACAGGGCCTTCATCTCTGGGTGAATCCTGACCCCTGCTGGCTCCGGTCATCACGGCAGCAGATGGGGGAGGGGGTGGGCGGTGGGTAGAGGGACAGACACGCCAGGGAGCAGACCTGAAGGGACATGGACAATGTGAAAAGATGGGAAGCTAAAGTGCCCGGAGTTCACTTGCGCATTGGCAAACCTTTATTCAGCAACAGATCCAGGCCCCGCCCTGTCACTAAAGTGCCCGGAGTTCACTTGCGCATTGGCAAACCTTTATTCAGCAACAGATCCAGGCCCTGCCCCGTTGAAGCTGCTAGACTAATCAGGAAGGTGGGGGGCCCGGACTTATTCCTGCAGACACAGCCTGGGCAGTAGGGCTGGATCCCTGAGGGGTTCCCCAGCTCCAACCAGCACCCCACAAATCCTAGGACCCCTCCCCGCCTCAATTTCCCCCGTGTATAAGACCCTCTTCTTTTCATATCCATGTCCTTGTCTGAGCCCAGGCACAACGGCGATCCTCTCCCCGTCTTGTTGACCAGCAGAGTGAGACCTGGTGTGGGCACAGACCAGGAGGCGCCGCAGTCGCTGGCGTTGTGCGGCTTCTGCGGCAGGAAGTCCCAGGCTACATGGCCTCGCCTGGGTCCTTCAGCGGATGCTCTGGGGTTGGAGCGAGGCCTCCCTGTGGCTGCTTGAGGCTGGAAGGGACCTGCAGGGTGAAGGTGAGGCTGAGGATGAGTTCTCTCTCCTGGCTCCTGGGGCCAGGGTGGGCTCACTTTCTCCTTGTCCCCCTATGCATAACCCCTCCCACCACCTCGCTCTGGGCCTGTTTCTGCACCCATGAGATGGAGGCGGTTAGGAGCCTTGGGTGGCTTTGGAGCAGAGGGGTTAGCGTCCTGGCCGTGTGACCCTCTGCAAGTTGCTTAACCTCTCTGGGCCTCAGCTGCCTCATCTGTGAACCGGATGAACAGCAGAAGCGGCTGGAGAGCTTGCGGAGGCTGAAGGGAACTAACCAGAGCGATTCAGGGACAAGACAGCTGGGGTGGGGACGGGCAGGGCTGACCGTTAGCAACGTCAAGATCTTGTCCACCTTCAGAAGCCTCTGGAGCCTGCTGGGAGGCGGGTCTCTGGCTGGTCTGGGGTCAAGGTGGGGTCTGCCTGTCTTTGCCCATCTTCAGGGGCTTCTGGCAATGTCTCCCAGAGTGGGGCTTCCACAGCCAAGACCCGAGGCCTCCTGGCCAGCACCCGGAAGCCGTAGACCGTGGTGACCGTGGGCACGTGCAGCAGGGCTGACCCCTGGTCCAGTGGCCGCAGCCTCCGTGCTGAGTGCCGGGGACTGCGCTGTCCTTGGGCAGGGAGCTCAAATGGTGGGATCTGGGCAGGGGTCAGCGGGCAGCCTCTTGTTGGCATGGTGGGTGGCACGTGGCGGGTGGGACCGGCTAGGGCTCGGGATTTACACTGGGGCCAGAAGGGCGGGAGGCCTGGGGGATCCAGTGTCACGGCCTGGCTGCCGGTCTCCTTTTTCTGAGTCTCTGCTTCTGTTTCTGCCTCTCCTGTCTCTCTCTCAATCTGTCTGGTGTCGCTGTTTCTGACTTTCTCTCCTCTGACTCCTTGTAAAATATTAAACTTCCAATGTAATATTAAATGTGAAATATTAAATTTCTCCTCCTAAAATATTAAAACACTAAGAGCGGGCTAACATCCCCCTTAATCATCACCTTCCACTGCAGATCAGTGTGGATCCTTCCAGATCTTTCTCACATTTAAACACACAGAAACAGAAGATGGTTTTAAAAACAATTATCTTCAGTAAATGATATTGTACAATGTACTATATCATACTGTTACACTAAACATATTATTATGCTAAACTTACACTTTTCCTTTTCTCTTTTTTTTTTGGCAGCTGGCTGGTCTGGGATCCGAATCCTTGACCTTGCTGTTATTAGCATAAACTTGGATTTTCCCTCTGCAGTTTGTCATGGCCTGGGTCAGGAAGTTTCTGTGATCTATCACCACGTAACAGACATCCCCCAAACTTAGTGGCATAAAACAGCCATTAATTCTTTCTCAGGCTGGTTGTGAGATTTCTCTGCTGGCCTCACCTGGGCTACCTCGTGAGGCCTCAGACACCTGCAGGGTCGACCTGGCTTTATAAAGCCGATCTCCTGATGATGGGGAGCTAGGTAATTTCCAGTCTTTTATAAACTAGTTCACAGTGACTCTCTAGGGCTGATATGATTACGTGGAACCAATTTATTTTATGCCTTTTCCTGGGGAGTTCTGCTCAAGTCCCAGGAAGTCGGTGTCTCCCGCTTCTGGGCCCCCACGGCATTGTTTTTGTCTTTGGGCTCCAACATGAAGCTCTGTCTCTTACCTGTCTCCCCACACAGCCATGGCCCAGAGCTTGGCCGTAGATGGATACTCAGTGCCCTTGCCTAAACCTAAGAGAGAAGGAATTGGATCTCAGAGAGGTCGAGTCACTTACTCTAAGCTACACAGCAAGTGGTAGATTTGAGCTCAGGCTTTGGTGGCTGCAGAGGGCAGCTTTTGCCATGAGCTCACTGGAGGGGATGGGTGGATGGGGCTGTTTTGAGGGGTGCAACAGTGAGGTGGGGGAGATGCCGGGGACAAGTCTTGCTTCCTCTGCAGGAAAAGTGTGTGGGGGGGTGTAGACCAGACCCCTCCCTCCCTTGCCTGTCTGCTGTCCCGGAGGCTCTAACGAGGCCTAATTATCCTCCAAGGCCTGCTGCTCTCTCTCCAGGGGTGGACACCCCTGGTTGTGACCGTGGGTTCATGTCAGACAGGGCAGGCTGGTGGGAAGAGTGAACTGAGGGTGCAGCTCGGGTTCTCGGTTCCTATGCTGCGTGACTGCCTGCTCCGAGTCCTTTCCTGATCCCTGACTGTAAATGGGCATGGCGGTGTGGGGGGATTGTTCCCCAACACTGAGGCACGTGGGTTGCATGTCGGGTGCCAGGTGCACCCAAACCCTGGCTGCCCTTCCTGGAGGCTGTGATCCAGCAGCTAACCCAGCAGACCCCTCACCCCCAGTTAGAGGCTTTGGCTCCAGATAAGGCCCCTGATAAGGTAGAGGCCAGGCTGTGCCAGATGGCCAGGGAGCGGGTGTGGGCAGGGACAAGGAGCAGATGCAGAGGTTGGCTGCAAGGCCCAATCACTAATTCCCCTGCCGTGGGGGCTAATGTCACCTGGGCCACAGCAAATCCTGCATCTGTGGGCTGATTGCTGTGATAAGCCTGGAAGCCAGTGGTTTTGATTTATCCTGAGAGAACAAGCAGGGAGCCGAGGTCATCCTATCCCGACTCTGAGCTCTGGTCCCCTGCTGCGACTAGCTTCCCACGAAGTCCTGGACCCCACGCTGCCTCAGTTTCCCCAGCTGAGACTGAGAGGTTAGCAGTCTGAGGTTCCTTCTAGGACAACCCTCTCAGGCTCGATCCCAGCCTCTGTCCGAGTCAGAAGCGGCCCCTATCCTCTGTCTCACTGTCAGCCTCAGAGTGATGGAGCAGACGCACCCTGCTGTCAGCGTGGGGGACAGCGTCCTAACAAGGATGCTGGGCTGTGGGAACGGGAGCCGGGAAGGTGACCTGCCTTTATAAGGAAGGGATGTTCAGGGGCACTCGTGAGGACAACCCCCGGTGAGGAGTGAGTGAATGGGGGGGTCCCGACCAGGACTGCCAGTGCCAGGCGAGAAGTCAGTGCCAGGGTCTGTCTGTCCAGCCGGGACATGCTTTCAGCGGGAAAGCAACCCAGAGGGAGCTGGCTTAGGTGACCAGTCTCAAAGGCTCCTGGAACTGCAACTAACAACGTAAAAACAAAACATTCCAAAACATAAAACAAGATTTATATCTACCAAGCTGGCCTGAGGGCTCTGCAAAGCCTCCTCCCAGGCCTCAGGCTCCAGACTCACTCCTGTCCCCCTGGGCCAGCCCCATCATCTCTGAACCCCTGTCCCCAGTAGGGACCATGGCTGGTGCTTGACAAACTCCACTGGCCGTACCAAATCCCGGGTGGGACCCAGGTTTCCTCAGAAGATCAAGGCCAAAAAAGCAAGATTCTGATGCTTGGACACTTGAGGTTTGCAATTTTATTAAGAAAACAAAAATAGAACCTATACAAAAAGGCCCCTCGATGCGGCGGGAGGCGTGCAGTGGGGGAGGGGGCCCTGCCCCGCTAGGCATCCTGCTGCTGGATGAAGGGGTTGGGGATGGCCTCCATGCCGTCCTGCGGACAGATGAGCACCACTGACGTGCCCCTGCACACCACCAGGCCCAGCTGGCGCGTGTCCTCTGTGAGCTTGTACTGGTCGTCAGGATCTGGGGAGGACAGATGCATGGGCTGAGGGCGGCAGGGCGCGCCTCCAGGGGGCCTCCAAAGACCCTAATCCAAGGACCTAGCAGCGAGCCCCCCAACCTCTACAGGCACTGCAAGCAACCCAAGGCCTCAGCTGCGACACATAACCTTTCTCTTGGAGACAAGCCACAGACCACAGGGCCAGGAGCTCCAGGAGCTGCAGTGCAGGGCCTATCTTTATCCCACAAGTGAGAACAGGGCAGCCCAGGGGACGCGGTTTACCTGGGCTGGGGAGCTAACTGGGGGCACAGCCACCTCTGGGACCAGACTGTCAGACGGGCAGCTAAAATAAAAGCCCCTGGGACTCCTGTTTGTGCAGGATCCCTGAAGCACCGTGGGGCCCCACCCAGGGAGGTGGCAGCGCGCTCCAGACGGGCTCTTCCTAGTGCCATTGTGCGGCGTGGGGGGGGAGGCAGGTGGCCCAGGTTTTGAGATTTGAGACCCATCTCTGCCACTAGCACCCTATGGGTCTGGGCCGGTGGTTCTGGGAATGAGAGGGGGCGCACACAGGTCGCTTGTGTGAGCAGCCCTGCAGGAGAGGGCTCAAGAGCAGCAGCCACCATGGCCACAAGTGCCCAGTGTGCGAAGGAGAAGCTGCTGCCCAGGAGGCCAGGCCAGGACTACAACCAGGCATCTGGACAGACCCAGCCAGGAAGAAACAAGATAATCTTGTCTCAGCCTCACGGGTGGGCCCCTGAGGGGCAAGACCCTCCCTGTTTCCTAGGTCTTGGCGTCCCCCAAATGCCTTGGTTGGCCTGAGCTGGGGACCTGTTGGCCTGGCCACCATGGGCTGCTCAGGGAGGGGCTGGGGACTTGGGGGCCTCACTGAGGAAGAGGAGGACAGACCAGGGGCAGGGAGATGGGGAAGGGTCCTCTGGTAAGGAGAATGGGATCCTGTGTTAATAGCAGCGGGTGAACAGGGATAGAAGACACGGGGGCTGAGAGGATCACCAGAGCATGTTGGCTTTCTCAACACACATGCAGCCTCCCTCTAATCACGCCGACTTGTGCTCACAGGTCAGCAAGGGAACTGGCAAAATACATGTCTTAAGTCCCTAAGATGACGGTCTTCCAGCTTCACCAGAGTGCCCAGGGCTGGCGGGTCACCAACACCTTTGCCAGTGGTCACATGCACAAGGCCCCCCGTGCTTAACTCAGGCAGAAGCTTCGCGGGTTTGAGAATGACACAAAAGGCCCAGCAAGGACGTCCCAGGTCCTGCCGACTCGGCTCACCTCGCATGTACTCAATGGTCCCGTCCAGCACCAGGTTAAGCAGCGGGTCGAACCCCTTCAGGATTCCACTGGCTTGTAGAAATCACGGGGGGAAGAAGAAAAAATGGATGCATGTAAGACCACATTCGTCCTGGGCACGGGGCATGCAGCGTCTGCGTGGGGCGCCCCTCTCTCAAGGGACACCCCAGAAAGACACAGGGGTGGGGACAAGCCTTCCTAGGGACATGACAGGACGAAGGGCAACCAAGGGAAGGAGGAAGCTGCCCCATGTCTCCCACCAGAAGGCGGTCAGCCAACGTTTGCTGCAGAGGGCCAGGTGGCCAGTGTTTCCTACTGTGCGGGACTCATGGTGTCTGTCACAACCACTCAGCTCAGCCTTCCTGGTGTGAGATCAGCTGAAGACAACACGTGAACTCACAGGCGTGGCTGTGTCCCAACGACTCTACATATGGGCGCTGACATTTGAATGCTGTGTGGTTTCCATGTCGTGAGATCTTTTTTTCCCCAACTATTTTAAAATTGTAAAAACCATTTTCAACTCATCAGCAGTACTAATATAGGCAGCAGCATGTCCACACAGTGGAATATTAAGCTGTAAAAAGGAAGGAGGCTCTGACACACGCTACCACGTGGATGAACCCTGAACACGCGACGTTCAGTGACAGACGCCAGACATGTAACTAGACAGAAGTGGTGGTTCACAACTCTGCGAATGTCCTAAGACACTAAATTGTACATTATAAAACAGTTAATGTTATATTTCACCTCAATGAAAAAACTGAACAGGAAGCAGGCCAGACCTTGCCCAGGGCACTAGAAGGCTAAGTTCCTGGGGCGGAACCCCAGTGCGTTGAGTCCTTCAGCACGTTCTCAGGGAATGAAGAACTAATCCCGACCTGCTGCTCAGGGCTTGACCAGAGTGGACAAAATCAGAGCTCTGAGCCTTCCAGATCTGGCCGCCACCCTCTCTTCTTGCCAGGTTTGTCCCCCTGCCCCTCCAGCCACACTGGCTCAGGTTGCGGCTCCTGGACCAGGGGCTAGGGGACGTGGGTTTGTGTCTGCCTCCTCTGTGATGTGCCACGACAGCCCCTGGGGGGTGAGCCGAGTGCCCCGGCTGGCCTGGAAACCTGCCCTATAGGTGGCTCCAAGCCATGGCTCCATCACTCCCCATGGGTGTGGCTCCCGCCTCTGCGCTCACCGATGCTTCTTCCTGCAACAACCAGCCTCCCACCCTCCTTCCAGCTCCCTCATCTCAGACCTCTTCCCCAGGATGTCCCCCATGCCCCTTCCTGGCTCCCTTTCTCCATGTCTCTCGCCGTGGAAATGGGTGTCCCACTACAATGTTACTCCTTTTACCTGTCTCCCCTCAAAGGCTGGGACTAGGTGCCTGTCCCAGGCTGTACTGCCCACGCCGAGGGCAGGGCTGGGTATGACTGACAGCTCAATGCAGTGGTGCAGGGCAGAGGTCTGCAAATTGTAGCCCTCAGGCCAAATCTGGCCCACCACCTGCTTTTGTAAATAAAGTTTTATTGGCACACGGCCATCCTCATTCATTTATGTATCATCTGTGGCTGTTTTCATGTTTTCGGCAGAGCCGAGTAGCTGTGACGGAGACCATCTGGGCTGCAAAGCTGAAAATCATCACCGTCTGGCCCTTTACAGGAAAAGTCTGTAGGCCTCTGGTATAAACGTCCATCAGACCACCTACGTTGGAAGCCCTGGCTCCTTGACTCTCTCTCTCTGTGCTCAGGTCCCTCCCCTGCAAAACAAAGATCATGATGGCACCTGCCACCTGGGCACATGGAGAGGGTCAAGTGCAGTAATTCATTCAGGCACACAGCATGGGCCCTGGTGCACAGTGAGCCTGCACAGTGGTTCTGCCCTCCTCAAGGGGAGGTGAGCCCCATGGTAAGTAGGCATCCCTAAAATGGAACCAATGTTCCCCAACCGTGGTGAACATACCTGTGTAATCCCCTCCCCTTGAGTGCAGGCGGGGACCTGTGACTGACAGGACGTCATTCCCATGATTAGGTTATGTGACAAAGACAAGAAACTTTACAGTTGTAATTAAGGTCCCAGAAGTAGCTCGCTTTGAGTTAGTCTAGAGGGAGATTATCCTGGGTTGGCCTTGACTCATCAGGCGAGCCCTTCAAGGACTGAACACTTTCTGAAAGAGATTTTCGAGGCTGGCTGGTTAGCTCAGTTGATTAAAGCGTTAAAGCACGGTGTTATAACACCAAGGTCAAGGGATGGATTCCTGTACTGGCCAGCGGCCAAAAAAAAAAAAAAAAGTAAGTGAAAGAGATTCTCCTACTGGCTGGAACAATTTGAATCTGAATGAATATTTGCTTCATCTACAGCACTGTAGGGGCAAACTGTCACGTTGTGGAAAGAGCCCGAGGCAGGCAGTCTCAAGGAGCTGAGAGTGTCCCCAGTCAACACTAGGCAGAAAACAGGGACCCCAGTCCTACAACCACAAGGAACTGAGTTCCACCACACACTGGTCTTTTGGAAGAGGACCCCAAGCCTGAGATGATGGGTCCCAAGAAACACCCCTTTATTGCGACTTTGTGAGAGGCCTTGAGCCTGAGACACCAGGGCTCCTGACCCACAGGTTCTTTGAGATGAGACATTTGTGTTGTTTAAGCTGCTAAACTTGTGGTAGATTGCTGTGAAGTGTAGAAAACAAACGTAAGCACCTTGAAAAGTAAGAGCTGCATCTCACACGTGTTCCAGAGCCACCATGGCTTACACTGAGCAAACATCTGTTCAGATTTAGGTCAAGCGTTTGGATCCCCTTACCGGCCAGCCACCAAAAACAAAAAAAATAAAGAACAAAAAAACCACATTTGCTCAGATTCAAATCTTACTCCCACCTAGACTTTTGGGCCCTGTGCTTTTAATGACTCTGATGCCATTCAACTGCCTACATATCAGGAATAAAGGGTCTGGATCTCCACCTCATGAAAAAAAGAAACCGAAGATTAAAGAGGCTGCTAAACAAAAGAAAAATTGACCTACTGCTTACTACATGCAAGGCACCGCCCCAATCACGTTATATGGCTTTTACCCTTTAATTCTCACAGCCACTGGTGTAGTAGGTGGTGTTATGAGCCCCATTTGATGAATGTGGACAGTGAGGCTCAGATTCAAGCCATCTAGAACCAGAACCGGCTGCAGAGGTGCTGTGCTGCTCATCCCACCAGGCCGCACTGTGAACAAGAGGCCCCGACCTGCTTCCTGCTCTCTGAGAGCACACTCTCTCCTTGCTAGATGCCGTGGAAGAGTCCGAACCAGAGTTAAGCATCCTGTTAATGAACATGAGGTTCCAAATTGTGACAGGTGCAACCAGGAGCTATAACAGAGGGGCCTGACCTGGGGTGTAGGGTCAGGGAATGCTTCCCAGAGCCAGGTACCTGGAGTTGAGAGCAGGAACGTGATCCTGGGAGTTCACCTGGTAAGAACATTCCAGGTAGGGGGAATCATGTGCAGCCCTGTAAGTTAAGAGCTCCATGCCTTACTCAGAGATACAGAAGTTTTGAACATGACCCTGGAACAATGGGAGCCAAGAAGACTTTAAACAAGGAGCAAGGAAATTCCTTTTGTTTTTAATAGGTCCCTCTGGCGTCTGGGTGGAGACTGACCACAGGGCTGTGGTTTCCAACCAGCAATTCTGCCCCTGGGGGACACTAGACACCAATGTCTGGGGACACTTTTGGTTGTCACAACTGGGGTGTGGGTGGAGGCCAGGGACACCGCTGAGCATCTGCAGTGCCCTGGACAGCCCCACTACAGAGAAAGATCCGGCCCCCAATGTACACAATGCGGGGCGGGGGGGAGACCCTGGGGGTAAGAGGAGCGGGAACGGAAGGCGGGAGATCAATGAGGAGCTGAGGCAGCCTCTGGGCGGGGGCTGGAGAGACAGCGCCCCAGCTGCGCTGCTGTGACTCTGAGTTACGTTTGTTCCTTGTTCCGTGCCTCAGTTTCTCCACCTGCGAAATGGGCACGCCAGCTCCCCCTTCCTGGCATAATTAGTTGGATTACAGGAGGCCATCGCGCCAAGCGCTTAAAGCGGCGCCTCTGCCTCCGTCCCCGCCACCGCGGCTACCGTTACTTATTTTAAATGGTTAAGGGGGCGGGACGTGCCGAAGGCGGGGGCCTCACCTTCGCGGCCTCCCTGGAACTTCACCCGGATCGTCTTGTCGATGTACTTGGACAGGTCCAAGATGCTCTCCTTCTTTTTCTTCTCTTTGTCCTGCGGAGAAATCAGCGCGCGTGAGGCTGGGAGCGAGACCCGGCCCCGCGGCCGCCCGCCCTGGGGCCCCGCCGCACGCTCACCGCCATGTTGCCGTGC